AGACTCAGTTCAAACACAGAATTGAATAGAACAATAGATAATAGTACAAGTGTACACCACATGTCGAGACTTGCAAAGTGCCGCCCGTGCGCCCGCTCGCATTTAAATACCCTGCATGATGACTTCAAAAATAGATTTGAAGATATTCTGACGATGGAAATACTACCATAGATCATAACCCCATTTGATGAAACGGAAGAGGTGGATGTGGTATTACAAGAGGAGCTACTTGAGCTCAGCGCCAACGAGGAACTGAAGGTGAAATTTAAAAAAGGCTATCAAACATTTTGGCTAAAGGCAGAAATCCCCGAAAAATATCCTGGGCTGTGGGAAATTGTGAGAAAATTTTTGATAGCGTTTCCCTTGTCATATCTTGTCGAAACAAGTTTTAGTGTCGTTACCAACCTGTTAACAAAAAAAAGGAGCAGATTGGACATCACAGAACGGAGAGATTTGAGATTACTTCTTACAAAACTGAAGCTAAATATTGATAATTTGCTGCCAATTCATCAAGTACATCCATCTCATTAAAAGTATGACTATTTTTTATTGTTGATTTACATTTCAGAATTCATTGTTGATTTTTTGTCAATGTTTGTAATAATAAATGTTTATAATTTTGTATAACTACAAGTATTATTTTAATAAATAGGACACAAGATAATGTGCTACTTTTTTTTCTTCTTAACACCCCAATTTAGGGTGATATTTTTTTAGGAGTTTTGGGAATACAGTAGAAATGTAGCAGCAGGGGGTCTACCGAAAATAGTAAAAATTTGAAAGTGGTCCACGAGAAAAAAAAGTTTGGGAACCTCTGGTTTAAACTGTCAAAAACTGTCACATGTCAAAAACCTGCCAACCCTGATTTAAACACATTCCAAAATAGGTTTAACTTAGTAGCGGGCAAAATGAGTAAAATTACAAAATGAACAATATTACATAAACTGTCAAGCTAAAACGTAAAGCATAACAAAGACTCAAGATGAGATACTTACTTCCAGCAGAATATGAAGATGGTTGTTGTTGGCCATAATTATATTGCTGTTGACTTGATCCATATTGGTCTGCTCCCCCATATGAGCCATAGTTGGTGCTGCTGGCTGGTGCTGAAGAGCCACTCCAACCAGTAGATGATGTACCCTAAAAAACAATTTGAATAAAGAATTATTAGTAATACACTTATAATTTCTGAAACACAAAAATTTCTTTTAAAAAAAACTCAAGATAGTAAGTGAAACATACAATAATTGTGACTAGTGACATAAAAAAAAAAATTTTAAAAAAAGAACAGAGAATATAATTTTTAAATATCATTTTATGACAGATTATTTTATAACTGACATTTAATTTACAGAAAAATTATTATTATTATTGATTGAATATTTAACATAGAATATACGGTAAATAATAAAGGGTTGTAAATTTGGCATGGACAGACCCCTGTAGGCATTTTATAATTCTAATTTAAAAAAATTTCACTTCACTCTTTACTTCATTATATTTATAAAATAAAACAGATGTATTTTTCGAATTAATCATCCATCGCCCTCTGTAAGCTGATATTTCCCATTCTTAAATCAAAATTAAATAATTTGTTTCCGGGAAAAAACACATTAAAAAAAGCTGCTCCATACATTAACGATTTGAGGTATAATCACAGGATTATAAGCATAAGTTATTGGCGTGCCTAGTAGTTAAGAGGTTCAAGAGAGCCTCCGTTTAAACAGGGAGAAAAAAAATACTCTAATTTCTATCTACCCAGCTTTAAAGATAGACGATTGTCACTCTAGTTCAAAATAAAGAGGGAAATAAGTTTTTAAGTCTTTCCAGGTTTTCTGTAAACCAAATAAAAGGTGTTATACTGTACAGATAACTATTTTACCACTTAATTATCAATTTAAAAATAGCCACAGTTCAATCATTCCTATTCTAATTGAATACTTGAATTTCCTTTACTTTTTTGTCTATGCATTTTCTTTTATTAACCTTCCAGCTTCTGTTCACTAAAAAGCATGTTGAACACATCCCATCCTCCATAAAAAAAGAGCCCCACTCTTTCCCCCTTACTCCTTCAAAAATTTGACTTTTCAGTAACATTTCAAACTGAAACATTCATTCGGCAAAAAAAAACTAATATAGATGGTTTTTAGCTCTGCTACACTAAAAGGTGTAACAGAGCTAAAAACCATCTCACTGTATGAAAAATAGGAGAAAGAAACATGGGGAAAACCAAAGATACTCACACTGTATGCATTTGCTGCGGTAGAGCTACCATAACCACTCTGGGGGTATGAAGAATCACCACCATAACTTCCATAAGAATATCTGTAACAATTTTTATTTGAGTTAAGTTACAAAGAAAATTCTGCTTTTAATTTCTTTTATGTTTCATTACTATACAATACTAGAGCAGACAATATCAATTACACATTGGTTTTACATGAAATTTTTTTTTAACTAAACTTAATTTAATAGTTAAAAAGGTCATAACCATTTAACAATAAAAGTTTTAATTTGATTGTCACTATAAGACTTTCCAGAATCAGTTTATATCTAATCTTATTTTAAATTAGCTTAATGATAAAATTAATGAAAGTAAAATTTTTCAATAAATTAAGCAGAATTACTATTTTTATTTTTTTCATATTACTTCAAATTTAAAAATAATTTTGTCTTTTAATAAAAGTGCAGCTCTTTCTAATCAATCATAGTTTGTAAGGTTAAGGACAGAATGGATTAATCCACAGTTAAAACCGTCCAAAACCTTTTTATTCAAATTGTCACAATTAAAAAAAAATATTGTGAAAAATAACAGCTTAATTTCGGAAACAGAATGAAAACATATTCAGAAACAGAATGAAAACAAGTTTTGTTTTACTGACAATAATAATTATATATTTTTTTAATACTGCATTATTTATCCTTAATGTTATCAGTATTGTATGTTTGTAAAATTGATGAACCAGGTAAAATTACCAAAATAGAAAAGAGAGAAGAAGAAATTATACAATTTAAACCCTGACGAATTAAGATTCTTAAGAACATTTTATTTTGCTTAATAATATATTGAACAATAAACAATACTGGAAAATTGATTTCACAAAAATAACAGTAATCAAGTTGTTAATAAGATAGCAACAATAATTATTTAGATAATTGAACATGAAAACGATTTCAGACCGTTCAGCACAACGATTGACAACAAAACATAAAAATATGACTCACCTCGAAATTAATATAGATAATCATATAATAGCTATAGAAACAATAATTAATCTTTAATCCTAATAGTAAAATCGTTTGGGAGCTGGTCCCGAAAAGAAATATTATAAACATCTACAACACATCAAATTCGTAGATTAATTTGCGCCGTGGCGAAAAACAAAGTAAAGGTTCAAAAGAACCTTACTACTGCGCAGGCTCCTACAAAAAATTGCACTGACATTTCTGAATCAGAATTAAAACAAAATAAATGATAGTATTTAATGAATTAATGTTGCTATCTTTTATAAGATACAATTAAGTTTAAAACACTAAATACGAATTGCAGGGATGAGATTAGCCAAAAGGCAAAAAAGCTGAATTTCCACGATAGTAAATTTTACGCAAGCACAACCCTTTAATAATAAATTCCACACAGTTTAATGTAATAAATAATGAGTTGACATACAATTGTGTACTTATCTATTATTATATAAATGACTACATTGATACTTAACATTTAGTGAAAATAAAAATTACCAATTGAAAAAATAAAGCTAGAAATTATATTTTTCCTCAGATCACATCAGAGACAATTATTACTTGAAAAACTACCTGGTTTAGCAAATTAACACTACTGAGAATATACATTAATATTTCATTTCTTTTAATAAATACTGTTACGTGATTTATAGCAAATATATCAGTAATATTACTTTTTAAATTAAATTGGGAAAAAAAAACTTTAACAATGGACCAAATCATTATGTTCATATTATAGACCAATCTAACTAGAGCTCTCTGAAACAGCAATGAAGTAACAGTGAAGTAGATGTTTAAACTGTCAAANTATTTTAGTTTGAAAAATTACATGACAATCAGCAACTGTTTAGATAATTGTTTTTTATTTGATAAGAGTTTTGCATTTTATAGCATAAATAAATAAATTCCTTTTTAAGTGATTGCTTTTGTTTGCTATATCTTTTATGTTTGCTATATTTAGTCGTTAGTCCATCTTCAAACATCTTGTGACAAATCCTATTTTTTCTTCTTTGCAAGCACAGAATGTAAGTTTTGAATATATTCCCTTCCAGTTTCTCTGATGTTGTAACACTTACATATACTAATAATCGTCGTCTGAAAAACAGTCACCTTTATAGTAACTAATTAAGAAAATGATTTACTTCTTACAAGAATCGCGATAGCTGATCTTAAAATTGCGTGAATATGAATAACAATTATGGATTTTGAAATCACATGAATATAAAACTAGATATACGATTTTGAAAATGAGAAAATACAAACTGGGATATAGAAATTTTAAAACGCGTAAATACAAATCACGATTCATAATTTTTAGATCGCGTAAATACAAATCATGATGTGTAATTTTTAGATTGCATAAATAAGAATTATGATGCTTAAATTTTAGAATGCGTGAATGCGAATCCCAATGCCTTATTTTAAAATCACGTATAAATATGAAAATCAATGTTTGATATTATAAACCACATGAGCAAATCAAGGCATTGAATTTTAAACTTGCGTGAATACGAATCGCTACATAGCTTTTTAAAAAGGCGTAAATACGAATCACAATACCGGTTTTTTAAATCTCGTAAATAAGAATCGCAACGTACAATATTCAAATCGCGTGAATAAGAATCGAAACACGCAAATATGAAAAGCTATGTTTGATATTAAAATTGTGTGAATAAGAATCAAGATATTAGCAGATTCCAGGCTGTGGACCTCTAAAAGGCTTGCCAGAAGCAGCGTCGTTTGAACTACGAAAATCGGATCTATCTGCAGGGCGGGTAAAAAATTCGGAAAATCTTTTCTGCTGCGTGTAAAAGGGGAGAAAATAGCTAAAATAAGTAAAAATGAGAAAGGGTTGGTAGCTATGTAGTTTGAATTTTCCGTTTCTCTTTGAAAATCTGTGAATTTTCCGAAAAAGCGGAATACTTAGAAAAAAAGTGAAATTTTTAGAAAATCTGAATTTTTGATTTAAAAAAAAAGCTGAAATTCAAGAGATAAAAGTTAAAAAATCGGAAATTCGCTAAAAGGAGGAAAAATCTCATCAATTGAAAATTAATAAAAAAATATATTAATAAATGATAAGTTTTTTAAAACTAAACAAGTATTAATAGATAATTTATTCATATTTAACACATTTGCTGCCACTAAAAATGATTTTTCCATCCTTAGGAGGCAGATTACAAAACAGGGTTTTAATGGTTTAAATCAATGTTTCCCAAAGCGCGTACCCCGCTAAATGGTTCGCATACCCTCAGGGGTACGGGAACAGTTTAGTGGGGGTACGCGCTTTTATGCGAAATGTCTTGCAACAAAGGAAAATCCTAAAAAAAATTAATTTAAAAACAAAGCTAGTCATGAAAATTTACGATTACATACTTTTCTATTGGTTATTTTTTTCAGAGCTAACAGTTAATGATTAGTGGTGTCAACAGCCAGTTGTGCTTTTGTGCAATTTTTTTATAGTAAAGAATGCATTCTTTTTTATTAGTGGCACACAGCGTTACGAAAAATTTAGAAAGGGTACACAAAAGTCATAAGTTTGGGAAACACTGGTTTAAATGTTCCTTACATTTCACTAGGAAAACCAGAAAAATGAAGAAACATTTTCCTGTTTAGAGAGCGTTCCCCCTCCCCCCCAGCGTGTCTGATCAATAATCTCAGAAATTACTGGCATATTGTATAAAATAGCAGCTTAAAAGGAATATATAAGGAATACCATTCAAGTATATGTAGTACCATTTATGAAACAAAACTGAAAATATTTACAAATAAGCAAAATAAACAGATATTGGCAGTCACACACATAAAAAAATTCAAACAAGTTTTGAAAACCAACCACAAAAAATAATGCTTCACTAACGTGGCGAAACAACCTCTCTGTTCCAACTCCCAAAGTCACACTAAACACAGAGCATATAGCTTATCATAGTCGATCGACATACCAGGAGGTGCTGCTCTGACGCGCCAGTGCTTTGGCGGCAGCGAACGTGTTAAAGGATAAGATTTTCACCTTTGTTATTCAATTAATTGTGGAGCTTTAAAAGTTAAAATCTTTTCTTATTATAATATATCATTTTCCTGTAATAAGTTAAAGCAAATTATATAAAAAGTATCAAATATTCATTAATATATAATTATGTGTACAATAGTTACACAAACACCCTTTGAAAAAATTATCACGGTATTGGACACTTTAAGACAGTTTTAGTCAGTTTAGGATAGTAAAACCCAAGTGTCTTGACCAAAAACCCAAACCAGAAATCAATTACAAATACATGACAAAAACCTTTTATCAAATATCAGCAACTGCAAAAAGGAACATATTAAAATTTTATTACTAATAACTCTTGCAGTTAAGCATTCTGGTGGAAAATTTTTCATTTATACAATTAAGTATAGCATTTATATTTCTCATTACTTCCCACTAAATACAGCACCCTGCTGCCCTTTTAGTCAAAAGAATCCACCCTGCTGCCCCTGAAGTTAATTAATGCCTTGATGTAATAGACTCCATACCCTTTCTCCCCCCCCCAAACTCCACAATGGATTTTTTAAACTTTTGTTATTTTCAACTCTTTTTATTTAATTTGTTGTTGCTGTCAATATAGATTTATAAGGGAAAGGAAAAATAGTCATCACACCCTCCACGATAGTNTTAAAAACATACGGTTATTATTTTATTGATATATGCATGTATTTTAAATAAATTACTAAGCTAATTAACTAGATATATATGTTAATTTATTAATAAAAATTAGTAATTAATATGATTGCTTTGCTAAGTAAAACAAAATAAAATCTTTTACTAATTTACAATGGTTTTAATAGAACGTGTAAAGCCCATAGAAAGAAATTATCGCCTTTTTAGAATAATAATGCCCCTTTTTTAAACTTTTGCCCCCTGCCCTTTTTTCTGGCTAGAATGAGCTCTGCTAAATATATTGCCTAAATTTATTTAATGACAAAAAATTCACATGTAGATTTTAGGGATAAAAATCGAACTTACATAACTAAAAAAATTTTTTAATTCTGACATTTAATATATAAAATGGTTACAAGAGTTAGTTCCACTTTGCATTTTTCTAACACTTTTCCTGTGCAGACAATATCAGACTGTCCTTAAGACTAACACCAATTAGCTAAGAGCACCCAAACAGAGATCTTACTCATTTATCTTTAAATGATTACACGTGCATGTTATACTATAAAATATAAATAGATACAGTACAGTCAACCCCGCTTAAAGGAATACCATCGGATCCAGCCAAATTCATGCTATTAAGCAGGTTTTTTTTATTCAGTAAACTCAGTTTAATGATCAATAATATAATTAAAACTTTCTGTCTTAGTATCATAAAAAAATAACATTTAAAGTTAAATAAAAATAAATCAATGTTAGTGAAAAGTATCATGTAGGAACTAAAATATTATTTGATCCCATCCGAAAAATTATATAATTGAAGACTGTTTCTTATACCCGTTTAATAGATAAATTTATCACAATGGGATATTCCCTTTTAATTTCTACTAAAATTTTCATGACTTCTGCGTATTCCTTTCAAACACATTCATAATTTTTTTTTTGTCTTATCTTCGAAACTTGAGAAATTCCTAAATAACGCACTATTTTAGTTGGGGATTATTTTGAAATTTATTGTTTCTAAGATTCATTTTTTTTTTTGCAATTAATTTAAATCATTCTCTTTCGCGCTCAACTTGCAACCAACTCAAAATTATTCACTGGATTAAGCAATTATTCTACTTAAGAGAAAGACACCCTCTACACTAGTGTATTAGGTTTTTAAAACTTTTTCTTATCAAAGCTAATGGAGCATCAAGAGGGGATCACAAGTCTTGACCTAAAAACAAATCACTCTATCCCTTTTATACATATTATGTGTGAGTGAAGTAAGTGAAGGAGGGGTGAAACTCCCTTTGTTTACTTCAGTGCATAACTGGCAGCAAGATTTGATTAATTTTTCAACTTCATCCCAATCATCAACTAATGAATAAGAAATTCCAATTGAAATGACCACCTATTGTATCCTTATCTTAACTGAAAAAGGGAAACTCCATTTTATCTGGTGAAACATTTCTCAAAATTTTTTTTTTTCTCTTTCATTTCAGTACCGCTTCTTTATGCAATTAAGCGGGGACAAAACATAACAAATAACCGTTTAAACGGGAAAGTATAACATTAGTTTAATATAAATTGATTTGGTTCCATTAAATTTTATCCGTATGAGCGGGTTATTCGATCATCCGAGGGGCGATTAAGTGGGGACGACTGTATTTAATAAAATAGATTCGTGTCTGGATAAATTAGAAATATAATGTATTAAGAATGAAAATGGCAATCTCTTTCTTACTCAAACTCAAAACCCATTTTAACCTAGCATGACATACAATACATCAAATGAATAGTGAAAATTTTATGAGAATTCTGATCTGAGAAAGAACTGCTTACACATCCAGCAAATGTTTTTTATTTTTTTCAAAAATAAAGTATTGGCTAAAAGAAGAAAACATTCATTAAGCTGAAACAAGTAACAGCTTTTTTAATAGGAGCTTTTATTACATCATGATATACCCGTGGCAACACAGCAACAATGTCGCAGAACGTTACCAAGTTCTTGCAGAAAGATCTTTCCTTTGGGAAGTAAAAAAATATTTTAGTTTTCCTTACTGCAGAAATTTTCAAAATTTTTTATCTTTTCTTCATAATTGTATTCAACAGATGCCTTTCTTGGGCATCAGATGGGGGGGGGGGATGTTTGTGATTTTTCTATTCTTATTTGAGAATAAAGTAAAAAAAAAATATTTTTTTTTTGTTTTCTTTTCTGCAGACATTTTCGTTCTATTTTTTTATGCACTTAATTACTATTGATTTCCACATAGCTTTTAAAATCCAATATTTTAAATACTATATTGTTTAGTACAAATGAATCTCAAAATGAAAAGAGGAATTTAGTAACCCCTTTTTGAAGAGTCCAATTTACATGATTTCGTAGTCGATTTTTTCTCTGGAGTTTCAGATTACACGGCTTTCTGCTACGGATTACGCTTCTTTTTATTAATTTTTTTTAATGTTACGACGATTTACAAAAAGCGATAAGGGAATAATCAGCGTATTTTTCTCCTACAAAAAGCAAGAATATCTCCCATACTAGAATAAAAAAGAAATATTACATATTCAATTGAAAAATTATTTTATTTAACCCAAATAGGTTTTCTTTAAACACGCTTCTGTTACTTTAAATTAGTGACATGTATATANATTTTTTTATCTTTTCTTCATAATTGTATTCAACAGATGCCTTTCTTGGGCATCAGATGGGGGGGGGGGGTGTTTNAAATGTTTGTGATTTTTCTATTCTTATTTGAGATAAAATAAAAAAAAAATTTATTTTTGCTTTCTTTTCTGCAGACATTTTCGTTCTATTTTTTTATGCACTTAATCACTATTGATTTCCACATAGCTTTTAAAATCCAATATTTTAAATACTATATTGTTTAGTACAAATGAATCTCAAAATGAAAAGAGGAATTTAGTAACCCCTTTTTGAAGAGTCCAATTTACATGATTTCGTAGTCGATTTTTTCTCTGGAGTTTCAGATTACACGGCTTTCTGCTACGGATTACGCTTCTTTTTATTAATTTTTTTTAATGTTACGACGATTTACAAAAAGCGATAAGGGAATAATCAGCGTATTTTTCTCCTACAAAAAGCAAGAATATCTCCCATACTAGAATAAAAAAGAAATATTACATATTCAATTGAAAAATTATTTTATTTAACCCAAATAGGTTTTCTTTAAGACGCTTCTGTTACTTTAAATTAGTGACATGTGTATATCTGTTATTTTTAAATAAAAGTATCTTGCAGAAAGTTAATATTAGAGAGATTTGTCGCGGTATGAGGTATGAGGAATAAAAAAAAATTCAGGTCTTAAAAGATTAACAAAATCCCATTAAGTCTCATCACAACATTCCCCAATTGCTTGGAAAAAACATGAAAGAGGGCAAAAACTGTGGCTTATTAAGTTTTAAGATAGAAAATATCGGACTATAAATAAATTTATATTCTTAAAACTTCACATAAATGAAAAACAAATAGCAGTAATAAATAGAACAAAAGCTTACCCTGTTTGCCCAGCAGCTGGGTACTGAGAATATTCTGTAAATAAAAGAATTTTATTACTCAATAACTGATAGTTTAAGATTAAACAAAAAGCTGCTAAATTTCTGATTTTTCTAGTTTCTACTATGGCTTTTCTACAACTTACATTAAGATTTACAGCAATAAATAAACTAACTACATTTCAGCATTATTTAGTAGACAGATTGAATTCGTTAAAAAAAGGGAGGAAAATAAGATGAACTTATAATATCTTAGCTAGCAAGAATGGCTGATTTAAGAAATGAGAAGAAAATGACAATTAAATTAAAATTCTAATTTTACAAACGAGCAGATACTTTGAGTACTATTAATTGCCAGTCAATACTAGCTCAAAAAAATTCTATGATAAAAGAAACCACTTCATTACTATAAACATATTAATTGAGAAAATTAGAATAAATTTACAAAAATTATTGAAGGAAAACCACATAAAACTATCTACTTCGTACGAAGACTAAATTGTGCATATGCCTTAGTAAATTATAACCTTAAGTCCACTTTTGTGTTGCACATGCTAAAATATGATAACAATTAAAAATGATAGAATAGTTTACATTAAAAACGTTTTTGAAATTTAAACAATTTATTGCAATAAGGTCAGATATATACTTAACAAAATGGCGCTTAACTTTGACAAAAGCTGAATCTTAAAACGAACTTAAATCAGTGACACAAGACGCATAATATGATACGGAAAACGATAAATTATTACTTACGTTGATCAGCCATAGTTCATATATTTGCGATTTAAAACTGCATAAGTTTTAAATTTAATATTTAATTTAATCCGACAAGAACTGATTGCGAGACGAAACCGGCAATTGAAAATGGTTTTGCTGTAGCACGATTATGTTACAGTTACAAACTTTTTAACTGTCATAAAATATTTTTGCTGTTTTAAAGTTACATTCCAAATGACATGAACACAAACGAGATCTTTCGAAAAAATTCACTTATGCGTAATACACAAAATATGGGAATATCTAGATTTTAATTTTAAATACGTCTTATAAAGCCAAAATTTAAAAAAAAGTTTAATGGCTGCTTTCTCAATTTTTATTCCAACACAAGACACTCGATACTGGTTCCACATCTTTTTTTATTTTATAAGCGGTGTCGAACAGCCGATTCATATTGACTTTGAGATGTTCAACTACGTAGTCTTGGAATTTTAAATTAACTTAAGAACAACACGTTGGAACATTTATGAAAATATGGCATTTTAAAACTAATTAATTCACTATTTCCCCAAATGTTCTTAAATTTATATATTAGCAACGGTATAAATTGTTCTGGTAAACATTATTTTCTGTATATTTTGCAGCATGAGTAGAAGAAGTCTCTCTTCACCATTATTCAAACAGAGCAGAAGTATTAGACAAATTTAAAAATGAAGACCAAATGACAATAATGAAAAAAATCTCAATTTCTTAATCAGACTATACATTAAAAATTAACTACCAAAGGTATAACTTAAAAATCCTGTGGTGATTGAGAAAAGGCGAAATCATCCATATACTTTCAGAAAATATTTTTAAATAAGTTAACAATTTTTTCCCCCATCACCACAAATATATGAAGAATCTTACGGTAAAACAATAGCACGTCACAAAAAGTGAGGTAGAAATTATAATCAAACGTCGTCAATGTGAACACGCTAGATGTCTCATACTCTATTAAGCTAAGATTTATATTCACTTCGGTTGGTAAGGAAACTGTTGATTCCACATTATACTAGGTGTTACAAAATTTCTACCGTAAATATGATTTTAAGCAGAGTTGGTCCCTGCCAATTTTCATGTTAACCCCTAGATTAAGAATAATAGTAAATATATACGGATAATAATAAATTTTATTTATAATTTAAAAAATAAGTTTGTCTACAAGTTTTATTTATTTACTTATTTTTTAAAATAAAAATGCCGTACAATTTACTTTTATAATGTGCATTAATTTAAATTCGATAGAGTAAAAAAAGAAATGTCCTACCCTAGGCAATTTCAGAAGAGCTATCAAAATATTAGATATCTATATTATATTTACGTTTTCTTCTACTTATTACTTATATCTGGAAATAAAAATAAAGTATTGTTCGAATACAATTATAAATCTTACCTTTTTATATTTTGAAATTATTTTATTTGATAATGGTAAAAAAAAATGCATAAAGGTATAACTTTTTGTTTTGCTTCATATTTACAAAACATGAGTAGTAAACATGAACGAAACAAGTACAAAACATGAACGAAATATTCTTAAAAATTCAAACTTGCTCAATTGTATACACATTGGATTATTCAGATGTATACAGAAGTTTCATTCAAAAATTTCTTACTTGATTACGTGAAATAACTGTTAAATATTTATTCTGAACATTCTGTTCAGAATTTTTTTTCTGGATTGTTTCGCACAGAGCATCTTTAATAATCGTGTAAAATTTAATGAATAAAGGTAGGACTTCTTCAATCACACCTTTTGACAGTCTTACGCAATCAGATTTCTAATCATTCTGATCGCTTCAAGAACGCCTGTTCCTTATATTTTGCTCAAAAATAGATATAATTTTTATCAATCAGATAGATAGCAAAAGATTTCCGATAACATGGACATTTACCTCATTGGTTAAAACAATAAAACTAGCCAAAATATATTGATCAATTTAATGTAACAAAAACGATGTTAATTTCCGGTACACCTAATATATTACTAAAAAAGATTGATCGCTAAAACTTAAAAATTCCTGAAATTTAACAAATCAATAAAACTTAAATATAAAAATTATTTTGTTAAATGTCCTAATGTATTAAAAATAAAGTCAAAATTTAGCACTTTTGAAAAATTTCAAAATTATTATAACATATTAGAGAAAATACTAAACACAATGATTTAATTTTTAATTTGTTAATATTTAAGAAATTTTAAAAATATTATTATTTAAAAAAAAAAGCAGTAAGAAAGCTAAAATAAACTGACAAAAATATAAATGCAATCAGTAAATTTTAAAACGAGAAAAGGGGAAAAAAATAAGTTGAACTTTATTTTCAAAAAAATTATTATATATTTAAGATTATAATTTATCGATGGAAGAGGTAACAAACAATATTTTAATTTCTAATTTTATAAAAATTTGATGTAATTTTAAGTTTAATATTGAGAAAATTATAAACAAGGAAAAAAGTAAGTCACAAAAATTGAGAAAAAATAGAGTCTGAAAAATCATCTTTACTTCAATGAAATTTCAATATTTTTTTCCCACAGGAAAGTAAGATGGATTTGATTGCAAGTTGAAACAGAGGGAAATTGAAAAACGATTATCGGTCTTTCCAAGATTCAACCTTTGATTATTTTTTTTTTCCTTTTTTTTTTTAATGTTTCTTACATCTGACTTCCTTTACCTCCCTTCCTTCTTTCTTGACCGAAATATTAACTATTGAACCAATTGGTATGCTGTTTCATTTTCATTTTTGATAAAGATTAAAAAGAAAAAGAAAAAAAAACACTCTGATCCTTGCTCTTTAGATATTCAAGAGTAGGTCGAAGAGTATGTGAAGTAGCATGCTTTTGCAAAACAATTTTATACCCTTTCAATAAGGATAGTCATTTCTTACTCATGAAGCATTCTCACTACACGTGAATCACATAGGCTATCGCACGTTAATGCGATTAGAGATGAGTAGATCGTCTTATAAGTGATTTTCAAACATTCGCACGCGTGCTTAAGACGATCGACTTTGCAATAATTGTTAAACGGTTACTAAATTGAAGCCGTCTTAATAAAGATGCAAACGAGGGTAGTACTATAGGCTGACTTTGATTGTTGTTGTTGTTGCAGTTCATTTATGTCGCACTAGAGTTGCACATTGGGCTATTGGCGGCGGTCTGGGAAACATCCATGAGGATGATCCGAAGACATGACATCACAATTTTGATCCTCTACAGAAGGGATGGCGCCCCCGCTTCTATAGCCCGACGACCTGCATGCGAAGTCGAGCACTTAACGGTAGAACAGTTTAACGAGCACTGATACCGCACACTCTCGATCCCTACGCAGACTGATCCAAGAGGTCACCCGCCCGCACACTGACGGCAGTCAGTGATGCTTGACTTCGGTGATCTGCTGGGAACCGTGTCTTAACGATCAGTCCACTGCGGACAGGAAGACTTTGAAACACCACTTATAGCTTTAGTCTTTTCATTCTGGGTAACAATCCAAATCATGAACGCAAATAAATTAATCACAAAGTAAATACATTAAAAAAAGCATAATAAATCATAAAATAGATTTTTAAAGTATATACTATTCAATAAGAAATATTTGAATGATAAAAAATAAGTATTTTTATAACTTTTTAAAATTTTGTGCTGATGACAACCAAATAAATCTGGGGCTTCATGTGAGAAAACTGGATCATTCATACGAAGTAATTTTCTGGCAATTAGAATGCGTTGATATCGACAAAAAATCGTTTTATGCTATTACGTTTTTATGTTTTNGTCTGCGAAACATCCCGGAGGATGATCCGAAGACATGCCATCACAATTTTGATTCTCTGCGGAGGAGATGGCACCCCCGCTTCGGTAGCCCGACGACTTGCACGCGAAGTCGAGCACTTAACGGTAGAACAGTTTAACGAGCACTGATACCGCACACCCTCGATCCCTACGCAGACTGATCCAAGAGGTCACCCGCCCGCTGGACTTCGGTGATCTGCTGGGAATAGTGTCTTAACGATCAGTCCACTGCGGACAGGATGACTTTGAAACACCACTTGTAGCTTTAAGCTTTTCATTCTGGGTAACAATCCAAATCATGAACGCAAATAAATTATTCACAAAGTAAATACATTAAAAAAAGCATAATAAATCATAAAATAGATTTTTAAAGTATATACAATTCAATAAGAAATATTTGAATGATAAAAAATAAGTATTTTTATAACTTTTTAAAATTTTGTGCTGATGACAACCAAATAAATCTGGGGCTTCATGTGAGAAAACTGGATCATTCATACGAAGTAATTTTCTGGCAATTAGAATGCGTTGATATCGACAAAAAATCGTTTTATGCTATTACGTTTTTATGTTATACAAAAAATGTGAGTCAGGATAGCTAGAAGGATAGCTAAATATATGAAATATTTTCAATGTGTACAAATGTTTGGTACCCTTTGAGTTCACATTAAGAAAATTTATGTATAGCTGAATAAGATTATAAAACTGCTCTTTCAAATTTATAATTAGCTTGTTATACAATTGCTTTTTTATTATTACTTCAATTATTCATGGAAATTTTTTTTCTTCTTTCTATACATTATAAATTTTTTGCATCACGCATTTTTATCTCTCTTTTTTGAGCCGAGTAAATGTGAGGAAAGTGTCACACTGATTTATTTTTAAAGAATTATACTTAGACAGCATAGAAATGGATGCTCGTTACTGTTGCGTNTTTTTTTTTTTTTTTTTTTTTTTTTTTTTGAAGACACATATTTTCCCAGTTTTCTTGAGAAAGTATGCGCCATTTTGGGGGATCATGTTACACAGTTTGAGAGTGCCTACCTGGAATTCCCTAAAATATTCTCTGTTAATGTTACGAAAAGGAAATGTGAAAAGAAATCTTATTATTTTTTAAAGTGGTAGGAATAGGTGTAGTAAAAATAATGATGTTTGAACTTATTAGATATTTTTCAGTAATGACTACCATTTTCCTTTCCTTTTGAAAAAAAAAAAAAGAAAGAAAGAAACTCAATCCCATAATTTTAAACCAAAATGTCTAATTGAAGTCACCGGCACCAGCTTGTCATCAAGAATTCAATCCTATCAAGATCTTAGGAGTGATTTACAGAACCAGTCCCCCTTCCCTTGTTGCAAAGAACATCGTCACGTGATTCCGGGACGATTTTCCTTCCAGTAAATCCTATCTCCAGTCTTTTATTATTGGAGGTGGATTGCTGAGCTTTGTTTTGAACAATAAAATTCAATAAAAATGGTTGTATACTGTTGTGCATACGGATGGGAAGAAAAATTCTTAAAAGGAGGGTCTTTTACATTTCACAAATAAGATTTTTATTCTTTTACATTCACTTTTAAGCATTTATTTACATTTTGCATGTTAGCACATCAAGTTATGGAATGAAATAAATTGGTTTTTAACCTGCAAAATAGCTATTATTTTTTTATATTAATATTTAAATTGATAGATTACAATGTAGTTAACATTTGTAGGTATTTTCATTACAATTTAATTTTATATTGATATAAATATTTTGATATTTTTACTGCTTTTTCGATGAAACGCGGGCATTTTTTTCACGCCAATATTTTGCAAACAAATCGCTTTTTTTTTGCTCTGAACTTATATTGATGCGTTGAAATAATTTTTTTTTTATACTTTCAGGTGAATTTAATTACATATTTTAGTTGTACAAACTTAAAAATATATATAAAAGTACATTTCATATAATATAAAATTTTTAGGATCAAAAATAAAATTATCTTTTAATAAATTCCGTTATTGAATAAAATTTATAATTCGAAGAATACTTTTTTTTCATTATTTAGGAAATTACTTTATTGCATAGGAAAAATTGTTCGGATATTCATATTTATTTAGGAAATTTCATATTTATATTTATTACTGTACATTTATTATTCAGGAAAATATTAACTAGGTTACCGTAAGTTCTATTATTAATAATAGGTCCTAATATCTCCTCTAAGGTCAAGATACCCTTAACTAACAGCTGACTGTTGTGGTACTGCTTTACCTTACTAACATATTCTGAGATTTGGTAAAAAAATGAGAGAAGTAGAAGCAAATATATAATTTTTTAATTCTGCTCTTTTTTAATTTTTTTTTCTTTTTTACGTTTTTGAAAAATGCTAGTTGTAAATGGTTTCAAAACCATAAAGGAAAAGCAATTTTCGTTACTGTAAACTTTACGGTTAATCAGATGGATCGACAGCTGCCAGTTATTTTTTCATAATTTTAGAATGAAAATTTTAACAGTGTGGGTCGTAATTCTGTCGTTATAAATCAGAACATTGCTTTAAATATACACATTGTTCTCTAAAATTTGAAGAGACTTGTTTTCATTTTATCACAATAGCTACTTACTTTCTTTTAAGATATGATATTTCCTTTTTACCTATGCACAAGTCGTTTAATTTTTTATGACTTATGGTAGTAATAAAANGGTTTTGCCATACAAATCTCTATGGTAACCATAGGCGTATGGTATCTTGCCATATAAATTTCTATGGTAGCCATAGGCTTATGGGGTTGTGCCATACAAATCTCTATGGTAGCCATAGGCTTATGGTGTTGTGCCATACAAATCTCTATGGCAACCATAGGAGTATGGTATCTTGCCATACAAATTTCTATGGTAGCCATAGGTTGCCATAGATTACCATAGGCTTCTCTATGGCAAATTTTCCTAAGGGTTACTATAAGTTCTATTATTAATAATAGGTCCTAATATCTCCTCTAAGATCAAGATACCCTTAACTAACAGCTGACTGTTGTGGTACTGCTTTACCTTACTAACATATTCTGAAACTTGGTAGAAAAATTTGAGAAGTAGAAGCAAATATATTAATTTTTTAATTCTGCTTTTTTTAATTTTTTAAAATTTTTTTTTACGCTTTTGAAAAATGCTAGTTGTAAATGGTTTCAAAACCATAAAGGAAAAAAAAATTTCGTTACCGTAAACTTTACGGTTAATCAAATGGACCGACAGCTGCCAGTTATTTTTTCATAATTTTAGAATGAAAATTTTAACAGCGTGGGTCGTAATTCTGTCGTTATAAATCAGAACATTGCTTTAAATATACACATTGTTCTCTAAAATTTTAAGAGACTTGTTTTCATTTTATCACAATAGCTACTTACTTTCTTTTAAGATATGATATTTCCTTTTTACCTATGCACAAGTCGTTTAATTTTTTATGACTTATGGTAGTAATAAAATTTAAAAATCTCTAACATACCACTTTTCTCTTCAGTAGACAAAATAATGAAAATAATTTGTCATTTTAAAACAACAGTCTTGATTTGTTAGGACAACTGTGACTATCAGTAATATGGTATCAGCTGTAAAAACTATGAAAAATTTCACAAATTAAATTTGTTTTTACATTAAAAAAAAGAAAAGAAAATAAGTTTTAATAGTATCGAATGCTGTTAGACGTGCAATCATAGTTACTCATACAAAATTAGTGCATTGATGAAGTTTTTGTCTAGTCAGAGTATAGACTAGTAATTCTGTCCTGTATATACAGGACAAAATCATAATAAATGTTTACAGCTCTCCTTTCCAGTTCTTTACAAATGTATATGTATTTAGTATGCTTTAGTTTTTTCTTCATTTCACTTTCGATGTTTTTAAAAATCAATTTTTAGGCATACATTTTCTTTTTTTAAATTTGAGAAATATTAACAGTTTTAAGTATTAATTTGAATTAAATATTCTTTTCACATCAACGTTATTGTGGTTTTATCTATCAGATGTGATTGAAAATTTTAATATTATAATAATAATAATTTAATAATTACTTGCAGTCTATAGAAATGGAAACGATAAAAATGCTGTATTTACACTATTTATTATCTAAATTTTTTTACAATGACTTTAAAATTCTTTTTACAAAAGTAATTTAGAATAGCCAAGCTTAGGGGCATAAAGACCATGTCCATATGCAAGAGGATGTCCAGAATAGGCGAGTCCATGTCCCAAAAGTCCAGTGTAGGCCAATGGGGCTGCTCCAAGAAGTCCAGTGTGGGTTAGAACAGGGGCGATTGGAGCGGTCTTAGCAACGGCATATGGAAGAGGAGCAGCATAAGCTACTGGAGCAGCATGATGAGTAGTGACCACTGATTTTTGAACAGCATATGTTGGTGCAGATAGAACGGTTTTGGAGACTAGAGGAGCATGGAGGAGTGGTGCTACAGGGGCGTGAAGAAGAGGAGCTGCTGGAGCATGAATCACAGATTTGCTAAGAAGGGGAGCAGTGATGATGGGAGCTGCTGGTGCTTTGATGGCAAGTCCATGTCCATACACAGCTGGAGCGAGGAGTGCAGTGGCATGAGCAGCTGCCAAAGCAGTGAGGAAGAATGCAACCTATAGAAAGTAATAAATCTAATAAATATAAATGCAGAAACATGGGTGAAACAAAGAATTATGTGTTACGTAAAGGTGAGCCAATACAGCTCACGGACTAGTGCCTAAGTTTCTCCTACGAACACCTTCGTTTTCTGTAGGAAATACTGAGTCCGTATCCAGTTCTCGTATTAAATAGGGATAAAATATTTCTAAAATTAGATGGAACACATCACACATGCATGCCCAAACACGATACGCTATAAGCTTAGTTTTTATTTTGGACTTTATTTTTAAGGGTAATTGTTATTTAAATCCGATTAGGAGCGAGTTTAACGCCTATAGGGGTACCACCAATCTTAACTTTTATATAGCGAGTTAAAAATGAGTTTGTGGCACAACTTTATTGCCCACATACGTAGCATCTTTAGTTAGACTCAAAATTTCACCTACGAGGTTTAGACAAGACTAGATGTTTCATTTACAAATTTCTGTGCTACGTAATAGTTGAATCATTTTTTCCCAGTCGAATTACGAGGCTAAACAGAGATAATAATAAAGAAAAGGCGTACGTATCTTAGGCATTTTAAGATCATATTGTAAAACAAAGATACGTCTCGGGGGAAAAAAAGTGGTAGCAAGTTTTTGATTAACTGCAATGTACAGTTTAGTGCTTTATTTAAATTCGACTTTCAAAAACCAAATCAGAATGATAAATCTAAAATATACTCGGGAAAAAAAATCTCTGTTATAAAGTTAATATAGAATGCGTATTTTTATCAGCAATTCATTTGTAAGCCTATGAGAGTAACATTTAGATTAGTAATTGTTCTTTATACTTTTAAAAAATGATAAAATTGTTTAACTCAGCAAATATTGTTAATTCTTTATCATAATTTATACAACTTATTATTAAAAATTACGTAACTTATTGAAAGTTTGCTGGCAAGATATTTTAGAACGAAAATAAAAGCTTCGAAATAAAACAGATGAGATATTGATATATTACTTTAGTTAAAATTAGAACATTCTGTTTGACATCTTAGTTTATTTAAACAAATTTATGTTTCAATTTTTGGTTTTATTTCAATGGTAAGAACATTTCGGTATACAATAGAATTTAAAACAATTTAAGTTAGATTATGTTTGATGTAAAAGTTTATTTAGATTAGATATAATGCAATTTTTCAACTAAATGTGATAGAAATTTTTTTCAAATGTTCGTCCATTTTAATATATGATCCTTTTTTTTAATATAAGTTTATAAAACATGAACTGATCTTGAAAAAAAAAAAAGGACAAACAAGTAGGCCTAGGTTTTAGAACAAAATGTTCCATTCTAATTGTTCTACTGCTGGCACCAGTGAATTAATATTTCAATATGACTGTAATGTTAATGTGCTTAAAATAGGCTAATTGAAGTTATGGTTTAAATGAGTGATTTACCTGTCGGATTTACATTTGCTTTCTGCAGTAATGAAAAAAATGAAGTAACTGTGTAATTAAACGGTGCAGGGGCAGTCAGAAATTATAATTTTACACAGATAATTTTTACAAATATGAATGAAATTATTTTTATGTATTCATATTTGGTAATAATATTTCAGGCATTGATGCATTGTATGATGCATTCATGGCATTGAATAAAACGTTTTTATGGCAGATTAATTTCACTTGTTCCGAGTGCATAATTGCAAGGTAACTACGGGCGATTAAAAATACAAAAATAGTATTTAAAAAAATTCTAAATTTTATTCAAAGAGATTAATTATAAAAATTAATTATTAAGAAATAAATCAGCAACTTTTCTCGTATATTATTTTCAGTTTAATATCGTAAATGATTATAAAAACGTTTTTTGCTTTAAATATAAATCATTTGAAATGTAAGCCATAGTGGTAATTACAATTGATTAATTAAAGAGATTATGAATGAGTGAAAATTTATTGAGTTTCTATCACTTTTTACATTTTTAGTCGCCTGTAGCATCGCTGTAATGGTGAAACAGTCCAAATACAAAAAAAGTAATAGACAATAATCACTCTGATAACTAACTAACCAAACAAATAAATGAATAAAAATAAACCAATAGAAAAATTAACAAATAAAAAATAAATCGATAAATAAAGAAAAGCATATAAATACAAAATAATTTGTAAAATAAATAAATGCAGGAAGATTTCTTTTTATTATGTGTTAGTATTGAGTTTTATTTTTTTTTCCATTTTATTTTATAACTTATCGTCCAAATAGATATTAGATAATTTCAAAAATATAGAAAAATAATTAAAAACCAAATTTCTTAAAAATGTCAGTTTAGTATTGTAGAAATAGGGAATTAAATAGCAAGAATAATTTAAACTATTTAAACGAATTAACAACTTTAAGGTATCAACTGTTTAAACGGGAACTTCTCAAACGGGTTTCAATGTATTGAAATTCACTTTAAAATTCTACATATTTTATTATGACAAAAATAGTTCAAGCAGGTAATAATCAGATTTTTAAGAAGTAAACAAATAAAAAAATTATCGAAAACGAACTCAAAATTAATGTTTGCCTTTGGTACTGACATATTTATTAATAAATAAGATGTTAAAAATTATATTGTAAATTTTGCTTTAATTGCACTAAAGTAGGATATTTATTGGTAAAATATAATTTTTATTTTTTTCTTTTCTTTATTTTGCTTCTCGTATTGAGACTTTTCATTGATTTTCCATAAGTTTGTGATTCGCTTTATATAAAGATTTAGTTCCACAACAATGCTATATTAAATTATTAATTACAAAGCTTTTTGTTGTAGTTTAAGTGCTAAGAAACGCTTTGTTAAAAAAGCATCAAAAGAATTTTTTTCTCTCATACATGCCAAAATAAACAAATACAATGCATACATCGATTCCTTTACGTATGTCTAGGTAAAATTTGAAGATTTTCTGCTAACATATTAAATGATTTGCGAAGTAATTTAATTTTTTTTTCATTATTAAAAATTTTTGTACAATTTGGTAGGTTTCGTCATATTATCTGAGACTTCAAAATTAAGCAAGCAAACTATAAAACTTACTAAAAAATCTAAAATAGTTTTAAAAAAAGCTCTTAAATTTTCAATTTAAAGGCCCTGTGTTCTTTAACAGCTTCTTTTGATAATTATTTCGAATGAAACATATTTTTTTATGTGTGTAACATATATAAATGAAGAAAAAAAACGAACTTACCTTAGCAATCATGATGTATTAGTAAATGGTTTTACTGAATGGTCAGAACACATTGCATTAGTTTTAAGCCATGTTTATATATCCCTTCAATACAAGGACACCCGGCTTCCAATAAACGGGTATATTCATTCAATCAAACGAAAGGGATCAGAAATATTGAATGATCTTGAAATCTTAAATCTCTAATACTTCCCGATTGAATAGGCATTTTATTTTTCTGAATACGAAAACGTGACCTTCGATTTAGAAGACTAGCCACTATAGACGAGGGCGGAAGAAACGGTAAAAAGAACCGTTATAATTATTCAAACCGTAATTATTTATTTTTTTAATTAATGGCCAACAGATTCTTCAAGGCTGTAGCGAAGTTGTTCGATGGGCTGGGTCAAATAAGGAAATATAACTAGCATTCAGAACCAAAATGGGTTAAGAAAAACATACTGCTGGTTGTTCTTAAGCCACTCTGCGTCGATTGTCATGGTATTCCTTTTACTTGAAATCTCAATGCATGTCTCAGAGCAACAGTGGTTTAAGAATCTTTCTAAACGAAGTGGACATACGCTACTTTGTATTTTCGGTTTGCGTTTTTTGTTGTTAAGAAACCAGTCGTAACTAGTTGCTAAATAAATGAAATACAAACCTAAGTTATGAGATGGTTTACTAAATGACGTAATACATTTTGTTTTTGTGAGAAAAAAATTCGAAATTAAATGTTATCTGAATATATATAAATAAAATTTAAATATATATTTACTAATAATAAATACGTAATAATGGAGACTGTACGTTATAATTACATGAATCATACATAATGTTAAATAATGAATTTGATAAGCTGTGTGACAAGAAAGCGCGATTTTTTCCCCTTATTTCCTTTTTTGACTCAATAAGTTAATTTATATGTATTTTTAATCTGTATCTGTATTTTTAATTAGCTAAATGACCTTCCTGTCAATATAGTGACTGATATGTTTAACTACACTTTAAATAACTTTTTAAAAAAATAAGCTACAATCGTTTCAAAATATATGTTTATTGGCCGAATTAAACTGAGATTTATTTATTTTATATCCAAATGGGCTGTTTCTTTAAAATTTAAACGAAGTTTATGCAGCACAAAGATAAATTTTATTTATTTTTATGAATTATCTTAAAATAAAGTCAGTAATTTTGGTGGTATGAAAAAAGCTCAAACATTCTGAAATGAAACTGTATTAATGAAGTTTAAAAATTAAATTTTTTTTTTTATTTTTTATTGTTTTACTATTCGTCATACTCTTAATATTTCTGAAATTCTCGTTGGATTTCTGAGACATAAATGAAAATTGGCCAATGTTAAAGAAATGGAAAAACTTTGGCTAATAAAAAAAAAATTGATAATTTAAAATTTATAGATTCAGATAAATCAATAAATAGTTAGATAGGTAATTAAAAGTAATAGAAAATATTTATAAAAGTAAATATCTGTCATATAATATTTTTTAAAAGTAAATGTAAAGTAAAATTAAAACAAAAATTAAACAGTATATTATAAAAATGTGTCCAAATTTTAATTCTTCCTTTTTTTCTTACAATGCCGACGAATTAATCGTTAGAGCAGTTGTTTCGAATTTTTCCTCGGCGGTGGAACCCTAAATAATCAATCTACGTTTGGGGAAACCCCTAACTTTATCGATTAAGTTCATTAGCAATTGCGAACATATTAATCGAAGATAAATGAGTAATAATTTTAAAAATGTGAAGAATATCAAATTTTAGTTTTATTTTCGATTGAAAATGTTTGATTAGAAATACTATTGCAATTTTTCATAAATGCATATATTTTTATTTATTCAATATATTGCTTTTTCTTTGCTCTAGCATTTTATTTAAATATTTCATAAAAATAACTAAATTATTAGAGCCCGTTGTGCTCCCATGGGGCTCATGGAGGTTAAGGTTTCACAATTTCGTGACAAACGGCATGGTAGTGATAATGTGGTCAGCACTGCGCACAGGCTGCTTTTACTTCACAGAAAAGCTGGTACCCATTGATCTAAAGTTAGGTGGGGCCTTAAACCGAATCTGGGGGTCGAACTCCAGTTCGTTGCGGTGGTAGTTTAGTGCATTAACCACTGCAATGAGTCAAGCCCGGTTTAACCATTAACACTAAACATACCGTAACCGGTCAAATGACCGTTTAAGAACTGTGACATCGAAAATGCGCATATCATCTTATCGTTTTTGCACATTTATCTTCATGCCTTTTTCTAACAATTATATACAGTTAAAATTCTATTATTATTATTATTTTTGTATTTTGTTTATTTCGAATAATGCTTGTCGTATACCTATTTCTACCACAACCGGTCACTTGACAGGGAGAACAATTTATTGCTTTATAAGATTATCGTATCAGAAATTAAGATGTAATGCATGTTCAACGTATTGCATTCGATGAGTTGCACATTTCTGCAAAGACTGTTGCGTAGTGAGTTCAATCAGAATAACTGTGAATTCAAATTTCAAGAAAGTACCTAAAATTTTAGATTGGCATTTCTGTGTAAGAAAAAGTGACAAAAACTAAATGTTTCGGTAAGTAGCTTATATTTTATTTTGATAGCTTTACTTCATTTCTAACTAACTGTAAGCTTTAACCTAGAAAAATGTCGAAACAATCAAGACAGCACAAGTTCTTAGAAGAAATAATATTAACAATAAGAATAATAATAAGAATTATAATTCTTATATATTCTTATAATTATAAGAATAATAGGAATAATAATAATTAGAAGAAATATGTTTGCAAAAAATGTACAATAGTAATACATAAAAACTGGCAATATACAATTCTGTTTAATTATAATAAAAAAATTTAAAGTTTTTTTTCCCTTCCTAACTTCCATATTTCATACATTCAATCAAGAAACATAAAGTCCGGTCTATGGTAGAAATAGATATACATTAAGTGTTGGCATGTTTAGTCTTAAGCATAGAGCACCTGTAAGGTATTTTGAGTATCAGAATTGCAAATCTGTGGAAATGAGATATATTTTTTTTAAAGAAAGTACGTTTTTGTGTCGGATTTTTTTAATTTATTACATCTTTAAAACATCGCCTGCATTAATTAATTAGCACATTTAAGATTTGACTTTTGAACCCATTAAGATTGAGGCCTAGTAAGTGAGAATCCGATTATTTAACTGAAAAGTTACTGGGGGGGGGTATTCACTTTTTTATTTTGCGCACACACTTTTTCAGAAAATATTGTATAAATTTTCAAAATCGTTTGATTTTTTTCCCTTTATGTTATAGTGCATGATTTTATAAGTTTTTACAATTAAAAAAATATTGAATTTATTTGCTGTATTTTTTCTTTAATTTCATGATTATGTTTTTAATTAAAACTCCTTAGAAAAAAGTGTTCAAATTCCACAGTTTTTTAAAGTTAAAATCTGCATCAAAACAATATTTTGAGTGTAATTAAAGCCAGTTTAGTATAAACTGAAAAAAAGTTACTCAAAGTCAGCTAGTTTAACAAGCTGATAATTTGTCCATATTTTACTGACTTTCATTTTGATAACTTTATATGTTAATGAATTTTTAAATTACTTTAATAGTAATGCTATCTAAAATCCCATATTTCATTTAAATAAGAAGCATAGGAAACAGATTAAAAAATAGTTGTAATACTGAATAGTGGAGTTCACTGCTAAAATGAAAATTAATAGCCGTTTTTTAGTTAAATATATAAAACAACCATATTATATTAGTGCATTAGCTTATGTATTAAAACATGTTTAATCCTCTTCAAAATCATAATTGAAGAAAAAGTATAACATCTCAAAATGATATTAGATTAGTTATGCATATCAAAATACTGAAGACTATAAAAAAATACTAGTTAATCGATTAAGTTATTTGGTCTGTATCAGTGAAATTGATTGATTACAGTTGTTCTTTAAATTTAACTGATTTAAATTCTTATATTAGAGTGAGGAAAGCAACTTTTCTAATTAAGTACAACTAAATTTCCTATCGTTTGTATATCTCTGTCACATATTACAATAATTTTAAAATATTTACGTTTAAACCTTCACAGAGGTGTGACCAAACCGACAATAAAAATAAATAAAACTGATAGATATTTCTTGTTAAGTTGCTTCTTAGACAAGTTGTGAATTTACAATAAAATTAGTGTTCAATACAAATCAATATGAAATCATACTGTGCGTTATGAAATAATCACACTATTACTTACTTACAAAACTTACTTTCAGCTGTTAATTTTCACAAAAATGAAATCAAAGTGAAGTAACATATAAAAGTTTCATTATAAACTAAATTTATTATTAATTCAGAATTTTAAGCTGTTTTAAATTAAACATATTAAATGTATAGAATATTTTTGATTGATTATTATAAATAATGTTAAATAAAATTTTAAGCACTACGTTTTTCAAAGGAGTGGAAATGAACCGATTTTCTTGCAAAAAGTAAAATAATTCCGTTATACTAATAATAAATGCCGTAGATAGTAAGAAATCTTGATAAATTCATGGAGAACTATCACAGATTTCTCAATATTCTAAGAGATAAAAAACACGAGTTGTTTGTTATTTTTATTGATTATTAATTTCGTTTACATACTGAATTGAGCTTTTATATGTTTTCGTATTCTCCATAAAAATTGTTTAAAGTTCGATAATTTTTTACGTGAATATTAACTTGATACCCACAGTGAAAATATTTTTAACAAAAATTTAAAAAGCATATTTGAAAACATTACATAACACCCGGAAAATTTGAATAAAAAATTATGTTACATTTTTTAGAATTAAAATGAAAAAAAAAATACATAGCTTGTGGGTCAGGAAATTTTTTTAAAAGTTAAATATCGGGAACGTTGAAATTATTTTAATTTTTTTCTAGAATCGAAGAATACGTGATTAGCCTTGAAAAACTTTCAAAGGGTTAATTTAAAAAATTTTATTTCCACCAGATTCTCTGCAAAAAGTGTCAAATTTGGCAGTTATATAAATTTATTTATTTTTGCAAACTTACTTTAATTTTATTTAAGAAAACTATTTTTTTTAATTTTATTTGTATTCATTTTCTTAATTGCATTTAAGGATGTTCTTAATCCGGCCCTAATGAGCCACAGTGGTTCAAAATGT